ATTCAGCACTACCTTTATACAATTGTATAACGTTAGGCCTACTATGTGCAGGGAAGCTGATAAGCATCTGAACGCATCGAGCTAAATAGCAGGTTAATAATTTTCCTCTCAGAGCCCCCAAAAAGCGCGTAAGAAGACAGCGATAACGGAGAACGAAATACAATATACATAACTTACACCTTACTGATGATGCATCGGCCTATTTTATAAAGACAAGCAGTTACTGCCGTGCATTTCATGGGAATAAAGCGCTGCGATTTAGCGCATAGCGTTCAGATATTTCTCTACAAGGCCAATTTTAATCCACAGATTTAGCGTTACTCTGTAAACACCAATAAGAAACGATGCTAATAAACCACTGGTTGTTGATTCTGTTACATAGACGCGAAATAATGAAATGCGTGCTGGTTGTTTAACTGTGTAGTGTGTACCCACTGTCTGTGAATTCGACAAAGCAATGTACTACACATCTGTAGGCCTATCCAAATTATGGTACAGTATTAAATAGTAAAAAAAAAAAGAGAGAGAAAGACCGACCAAACACAGCATAGATGCTAAAGACTGTAGGTCAGTTTAAAAACGCCCACAGAGGTGCTATAACAACAGTCTGATTTTCAAATGATTGAGTTCTTTTTATCTTTATTTTAGCTTTTAAACTATGTCTCCAACACTCTTTGACAGATGAGAGGACGTGCCACCACAATGAGACTCTATGAAGAGACAGAAGATTAGGACTTTGCCTCTAAAATGAGTCAAGAAGAGGAGAGAGAGGAGGACGCTGCCTCTATAAGCTGTGATCAACCCATGAAGAGTCAGCCCTCTGCCTTCAGTGACGCAGAAATGACCTCTGAGCCCAAGTAAGACATTAACCATTTTAGCATTTGGCAGACATTTTTATTCAAGTGTCTTAGCAACATAGATCTAATTCTTAGCCTGATGATACATGGGGCAACTTCTTTTCATTCAATTCAATGCAGTGCAATATTGCTAAATGATGTTTTGGGCACTTTCCTGTTGAGAATGGGCAACACATTTCTATCTGGATACTTTGGATCAGTCATGGGCCCTGTGTCTCACCTGGTTGCCCATTGATGGCAATATTGCCCAGCGACATTGCTTAAAAAGTTGCCCTGTGTATCATCAGCCTTACATGCATCTCTAGTCTAGCTTGTTTTCCTCAAAATAATCTTGGAACTTTGTTCTATAACACTTTGCTACTGCTTGCTTAGAATAAATCACTTTATTGTATTCCTCAATTCTAAATTTGAATAAAAACATCTGATAAATGAATAAATGTCAATCAAAGGTATTATAGACCAGCTATAGACAGCAGCCAGTGCTTGAGACGAGAGATTGAGAAACAGCGGATTGGTCTAAAATGGCATTGCATTTGTCTAGTGCCAGTATCAGCAGGAAGAAAAGACAGAGATCAGAGGCTCCAGAACCCAGCGATGTGTCTGTGAAGAGTAACACATCCATGAGGCACTTTTACATTTGTCAGATGCTTTTATCCAAAGCCTAAAGTGTGCTTCAGTTTTGACCCACATGGATGTTTATGCACATAGCCTTGCAAAGCCATGCCAAGTTAATAAATGTAAATTTAATTTTGTAGTGCATTAAACTATATAGTATGTTTGTGTAAAATTAAAGGAGTAGTTCACTTTCAGAATGAAAAATCTGTCATCATTTACTCCCTCTCCACTTGTTCCAAACCTGTATGAGTTTCTTTCTTCTGTTGAACACAAAAGAAGATGTTTTGAAAAATGTTGGGATCCGAACAATTGATGAGCACCATTGACTTCCAGAGTATTTTTTTTTCCTATGGAAGTCAATAGTGCTCATTAACTGTTCGGATCCCAACATTTTTCAAAACATCTTCTTTTGTGTTCAACAGAAGAAAGAAACTCATACAGGTTTGGAACAAGTGGAGGGTGAGTAAATGATGACAGAATTTTTATTCTGAAAGTGAATTACTCCTTTAGGTTTTGTTTGTCATTTATCAGCATCACAAGGAGGAAGAGACAGAGATCAGAGTCTCCAGAACTCAGTGGCGTGTCTGTGAAGAGTGACAGGTCTATGGAGAAACCCCCTATATTCAGTGATTCAGCAGTGACCTCTGGCTCTCTGTTAGTATAAACATTTACTTGCTACTCTATATTGTGCATCTCAGATGACTAATGCAAAAAACAAACAAACAAACAAACAGTAAATACACACTTACATTTATGCAGATGCTTTTATCCAAAGTGACTTACAGAGCACTCAGGCTATACATTTCTTTTTTTTACAAGTATGTGTGTTCCCTGGAAATTGAACCCACAGCCTCTTGCGCTGCTAATGCAATGCTCTACCACTGAGCCACAGGAACACAATAATAATAATAATACAACCCAGTGCTGGGTAAAATAGGGCACTGGGTCAAAACAACCCAATTGCTGGGTTTGTCCCTATTTTACCCAGCACTGGGTTGTATTTAACCCAGCAATTTTTAGAATGTAATAACAATAATCATATTCAAAATTCTGAACTCTGCCTCAGCTTATTGTAATTATAGATTTTACTCAATTAATGAACATACTCATCTTGCATTACCCATACTGCATTTTCATATCTCAGGTTGGAGTAGATTTCAGGTGGTCTCTAAGTATCATTGATCTAAACTGAATTGTCTTTTTGCAGGGGCGAAATGCATGGCACAGATGCAATCAGTTCATCTTCTACATCCTACTTTCAGACCCACATCAGGCAGGAAATAACTGAAGCAATCCTACAGAAACACACACTGGAGACTGGAGACCTGCAGAGAGTCAAAAACCAGCACAAAACCAGCATGAAGAACAAGTGTGTGAGATTATTTGAAGGAATTAAACTCCAAGAGAATGAAACCCTCCTGAACAGGATCTACACACAGCTCTACATCATAGAGGGAGAGAGAGAAGGAGTGAATGAAGAACATGAGGTTTTACAGATGGAGAAAACAGCCAGAACACAACACTCACAAGACACTCCAATCGACTGCAATGACATCTTTAAAGCCTCAGCTGAACCAGGATGTGAGGAGAAAGACCAGATCAAGACTGTTCTTACTAAAGGCATCGCTGGAATCGGAAAAACCGTCTCTGTGCAGAAGTTCATTCTGGACTGGGCCGAGGGAAAAGCCAATCAGGATGTAGATTTCATGTTTGTGCTTCCATTTCGAGAGCTGAACTTGATCCGAGATAATCAGTACAGTCTTCACAGACTTCTGCTGGACTTTCATCCTGAACTTCAAGATCTGGACTCA